GCAACCACCAGTCCATGGCTTCAGAGCTGCTACCATGTGTCACATGCGGGGCTGCCATACTCATGTCATGAAAATAAAATTCACTCAATCCATGCTCACCAAGCGTCGACGGGGCCTTCTCAAGCTCAACGGGGGTCTCTAGGCTTCCAAGCTGCGACGTTCCAAGCTCAACTGGGGCCTTCTCAAGCTCAACGGGGGTCCCTAGGCTTCCAAGCTGCGACGTTCCAAGCTCAACTGGGGCCTTCTCAAGCTCAACGGGGGTCTCTAGGCTTCCAAGCTGCGACGTTCCAAGCTCAACTGGGGCCTTCTCAAGCTCAACGGGGGTCTCTAGGCTTCCAAGCTGCGAGGTTCCAAGCTCAACTGTGGCCTCTGAACTCTCCAACAACCACGACCTTCCAAGGCTTCCCAATCACCATCGCTCAAGCTCGACTCATTGTCGGAATCTTCCTGAGCGATATCAAAGAACTCGCAACCAACTGCCGCTGCAAACAGGCGCGGGCCCTCCAAGGTCAAGGCCGCCAATTGCGGTTCGAGAAGCGTCGCTGCTGCCGCCACACCTTTGGCCGCTTTCTCAGGGCATCGGTTTGAATAGTGCCCCACCTTGCATTGAGTGAAGCGGATCAGAGCATGATTGTGTTGAAGGGTCTTGATGCGGATGTGAAGAGGTATATCTTGTTGCATGCGAAGATTGACTCTCTGAGTGAGCTTGAGACTGCGATCAAGTTCTACGACGCGAACATCAAGATCCTTACCTTCGCTGATTCCGGGCGAGGTCGAGACCGCAGGAACAACAACGACATAGCGAATCCGCTGAACTTCAAAGGGCGATGGAAAGGGGAAGGACGAGGGGAAGGACAAGGGGAAAGATAAAGGAAAGGACAAAGGGAAGGACAAGGGAAAGGACAAAGGTCGCTCAGGAAAGGACAAGCATGACAAGAAGGGAGAGAAAGGTGGAAAGGGGAACGCTACTCAAGACCCTGGAAAAGGGGGCGGTGGTGGCTCTGGTAGTGACCCAAAGCACGACAAGCGTGCCAACGTGAAGTGCTACAACTGCAATGAATTTCTGGGAACACCATGTTAAAAAACCCAAGATGCCATGAGAAGAAGTTGTCGCAAACCTGTCTGTTGTCCCGCAATACAGCCGTCACTAATCCGTCAACTACGGCCGGGAGTCAGCATGGCAGACACCCGGATTGGAAGAGTCCATGGCAATGAAGTGCTGGGCCGGATTAAGGTTGGATTGCTGTACTGCTGCTGCCACTCGCTGGTTTCCTTCTTGGGAACGAGGAGAACCATTCTGAGGCTGCCCGGCCTGATCGCTAAACTCGCCCAGAGCAGCACCCATGAAAAAGGCCATCGCATGCAGGGTAGGACGCTGTTGCCCCTAGTCCCCCTCCCGCAGGGTCTTTGGGATCTAGAGGGCTCGTTCTACCCGCTCTCCCCCAACTAGGGTTAGGTCTTGCAGTGGGCGTTGTCTGAACTTCTAACAACAACTACTGTGCAAGTTATGTTGGCTGTTGCTCGGGGTTGCTTCACTGGCTCATAGGTGCCCTGGGCTGGTCTTGCATCCACTGTTCTTGCTATCAAGTTCCCACTGGCTGACCACCATAGGGCGCGTGCTGGCTTTTCTTCTGGTGAGGGTTTGACTTGTCGGGTTGTCTTTCCCCTCTGAATCGGTAGCCGCTGCTTCATGCAGGCTCCCTCTCTGGAAAGTGTTAAAGGCCCTGCTGACCGCGGCCCCTGTTTCTGCTTGGGTATGTGGTCAAACTGGGCTCAGTTGTGCACTATGACCTTGGCCGGGCTCCAATAATAAAGCCACAGGTTGTGTCGGCTGTTGCTCGAAGCTGCCCCACTGGCTGACCACCATGGGGTGCCCTGGGTTGGTCTTGCATTGTTCTTGCCAACAAGTCCCCACTGGCTGACCACCATGGGGCGCGTGCTGGCCTTGCTTTCCCTCTGGGATGTTGGGTACCTTCCCTTGTCGCCACTGTGCCTGGTACCTCACCGTATGCTCTGCGCTGCTCGATTACACCTGGACTTCTGCGACGACTTCGAGTTCTAAGCGCGGGGGACACGTAGACTTTTGGTGCTCTGTTCTTCGGGTTGCTGCTGGTGGTGGTTGTGTTTTGTGTTTGTTTTGGTGTGTGTTTGCTTTGGTTTGCGCACCTGCTCCGTTTCACCTCTCGCATTGAGATCCCTAAGAACGGCCTACTGCGCTGCTGATGTAGTAAAGAGGCAATGGTCAAAAAAAAAAGCAACATGGCCCAGGACTGTGGAAAAAGGGAAAGGAGATATGCGCTCATAAGTGCCCGGAACTCCATGTTGGAATGCATCCTTTGCCTCAGCCATTCGAAACCAAAGCCGGCGGAATCGTTCACGCAGGCAGCGGGTCAAGTCTATTGTGGCATTCGCGATCAATATCTCACGCACGTTTTACGAATTCTTTCTCGCAGAGAGGTGGAGTGGGGAACTTTGGGTTCACCTCCTCGGCTTCAGTGGCAAACCAAAGACTTTTGGGCTGCTTACAACTTGGAGGTCTGATTTTGCGGCGCGTGTCAATGTGTGTCGTCGTGTCCTCCCATTTAGAGGCTTCTTGCTGTGCCCGATGCCACGAAGCCTCCGCGGCGTCACGCAGCGAACATCGTCTGAGGTTCACGGCAACTCCTCCAAGTCGAAGGACACCAGGCCAGCTACCTTGGATTTTGGCTGTGCGTTTTGGGAATTGAGGCTTTTGGGGGAATCCTAAGTAGCATGGGAGCAGAAGCGGTGATCAGGCGTTCGCCCCACTGATATTCCTGCCCCATGGTGATCAGCTGAGAGACCTACAAGAACGGTCTACGCTGCTGATGTTGTAAAAAGGCGTCCGCTTTTGAAAAAAACCCAGTCGCAAGCGGGTTCATCGTGTTGTATCGCTCTTCAGACGATCTCTGGCAATCTTCTTGTTCAAAGTTGAAGAGTTGCCCAATTAGGCCTGGAAAACAGGACCCGGCTTGAGTGGCTCCCTTTGATTTTTCATGCACATGCAGCGGCTAGCGCTCAAGCCGTTCTTTCCGTTATCTTGACCCAATTTCAAAAGTCTCTGTGTTGTTAAGAGCGGATTGAAGTGTAGGAAACCGCAGGAGTTGAAGACTCTGAAGGAGCTGGGGTAACGAGTTTGAGGTTGTGTCCAACCTAGGAGGCTTGAAGGCCTGGAGGAGAGCGTCGAACTGGTTTTTGGGAATTTCAGCAACAGTAGTACCAGTGACCATTTGGTGTTTATCATTATTAGCGTGCTACACGCTCCACAGAAGGCCCAGCAGTGTTACGCTTCTTAAACTGCTGCCCAAACCCTCCAGAGAAGGCCCAGCAAGCGTTGCGCTTCTTAAAATGCTGCCCAAATCCTCCAGAAAAGGCCCAGCAAGTATTAGGCTTCTTAACTGCTGCCTAAACCTTCCACAAAAGGCCCAGCAAGTGTTAAGCCTCTTAAACTGCTGCCCAAACTTTCCAACAAGGCCCAGAAGTATCAGGTTGCATTGCCTTCTTTTTGCGCCGCCCTGAGGAATTGTTTCTGTTTGGGCGAGGCCAGGGCGAGGTCTTTGTGATATGTTTTTTTAAATGCAAACTAAAGTTGATAATGTACGACTATCTGAAGGTAACAGGCATTTCTCTTTTCGCGAAGCAGCGCCCGCCGCCACGCTCTCGCGCTCGGAGGTGGGTGTTTCGGGTGTTAGGGCATAGTGTTCAGAAGAATGTCGAGCGTTGGACCTATTCGGATGGGAGGTCTTCATGTTTGGGTTCTCGCATGTTTAGGATCCTAGAGCTCAGGACGATTTTGGGTTTTTTTGTGGTTTCTTGGGGATGCTGCACGCAAAGTAACATGTGCAAAGCGGCGTTTAAAGTTTCCGATCCTCCGCCCCTGAACTTGGCCGCGGAGCTGTACCCGCAACAAAGCTGGACACCAAGCAGGCTTGACCGACGCGTTCCCGAGCTCCTTTGCCGTTCGAATGTGCCGCAAGTGCTACGAGCCGCAGCGGTCCAAACAGGACAAAAAGAAGACTGAGACGCCATCTGCCATGGTCCCATCAGGGGCCCGTTTGGATGGAGAAGACCTGTGTGCGAGAGTTGGTCTACGGCAAGAAGCAGTAATGTTCCTTACGCATTTAACTTAAAGCCAAGTCTGAGGCCGCCTAGGACGGATCCTTTTCCTGGCTGAGGATGCCTTTCGCCTTGCAGGGATGTTTTGGGGCTGCAGGATGCTGCAGGGTCGTTTGAGATGGCAGGAAGGGGCAGAGGGGGGCACGGGGGGTGGGGCAACATCGCTATGTTTAGCGTCTAGGGTCTAGGGTTTTGGCTTGCAGGGGTTACGGTTTCGGGTTTGACAATCATTCAGCCGACCCGCTGTCTTAAACACCCCCAAAGCCTGAATCCCAGAAGTCAAACGGTCGATGATGATCAAGGAGGCTGGCCTACCGGAAGGCTGGTTGGGGTTCAATGGCCCATAACTTAAAATGGCCGTTTGCATCACGTCTGTGTTGTCTTCACGAAATTGGCCTTTTTACCAACATTCTTTTTGCCCTTTCTTATGTTAGTATTGGATCACGAACGAAGGTTGTCTACAGGACAGGAATTCCATTAACAGGTTTGTTTTGGAATTGAATCCTTTGCGACGTGGGGTTCCTCCTAACTCCCGGGGTATTACATGGGACCCAACCGCTTCAAGGCTGTTGTTTTCTTTGTGTTGCGTTGGGGTTTACGCATTTGGGGAAGCGCAGGTGCTTGCTCTTCGAATGCGCTTGTTTCATTTTCATTCCTGGAAAGCCGTGACCGATGCCCCGAAATACCATCAAATTCCCCGGGTCAAGCCCCAGTCCTATATTCCGTACAACACAGTATGCATCCACCCATCCACGTGAAAGCAACCGAAGCATCCGAAGCACCCGTATGTATATCCTTAGCCGTTTGTCTCTTCCTCACAGAGAAAGGTAAGAAACTCTTGCTTGTGCAAAGTGCTCACTGGCGCCATGCGAATGTTGAGGATGGCTTGTTTCAGCCTCTGCGCGTTGCTTGTTGACGTGGGAAGCACCTCAACACCTGCATTGGAGCCTACGGAGTCTGCCTGGATGCGGGGAGATGAGTGTCTTGAAGGCCCTGAGAGCCCTGGAGAGGAGGCGAGCAAGTGTGCCTTGAGTGCCATCCAGCGGCGGAGTGCCAAGTTGGCTGTCCAGGATACCGTGCCAGACAGTGTTACGGCAAGGCCGGAATGTGGTGGAAAGGCCGGGCCAAAAAAAGTCATTTTCATTCAGGATGCATGCTTGGATGATTTCTTGTCCCTTGCTGCATTGGCTCGCGCCCACAAAGCTGGTGAGATTGAGTTGTTGGGGGACATTGTGGTGAACGGTGACTCTACCTTGCCCGACAGTATGGTGGTAAATTACAAGTTTCATCAAGCACTTGGCATTGGGGACATTCCCTTGTTGCTTTCCCGTGCCCGAATTTTCAACCAATTCCCATGGCTCTACAGAGGTGACACTTACACCCTTGCCAAGACCCCGGGAATTGAAAGCATGAAGTTCGACATTCCATGGAAGGAGTACCAGGACTATCCCGATGGAGATGAATGGCTGGTGAAAACCTTGCAGGATGCTTGCCCAAGCTCCATCACCATCCTGCACGTGGCAGCGTTGACCAATCTGCAGATGGCCTTCAAGAAGGACCCCTCGCTGCCTCAGAAGATCAAAGAGCTGGTGTGGATGGCTGGTGCAGTCAACGTGCCGGGAAACACCGATGGTACAGGAAAGCACGGACTAGGCCATGGATACCGAGGCATGAACAGCTATGCTGAGTGGAACGTTTATGCGGATCCATTCGCGGCCAAGTATGTGATGGAGACGACCACATTTCCCATACATTTGATCCCACTCGACCTTTGCAACAAGCTCCCTCTTTGCAACGATGACAGTTGCGAGTTCATGAATTCTTTGAAGGCAGAAGACAAAGCAAATTGTGCATATCCCGAGATCCAGACGGCGTTAAAGCAAGCCTTTACCAAGTCCATTGCTGCTAGCCCTTTTATGCGGCTTTGGGACTCTGCTGCGACAGCATATGTGCTGAAGCCCCACCTGTTCTTGGACCAAGGAACCACACAGCTTGCCGTTGTCACAGCTTGGGACAATTTCGGACGGCTCGTGCAGCCCAAAGATGCTGGAAAGTCGGGAAAGGGAGAGACACACTTCAGGACGGTGTCAGCGTCCTTCAATCTGACGAAGCCCAGTGCCTACACTGAGATGTACACCTTCTTATCGTCAGCTGCTTGTGACCGCTAGCGCAAGCCAGACACGCTAACACGAGTGCAAGCTTATGAAAAGTGCGGCGAAGGGGACGGAAGATTTTGTCGTATTTAGCATGATCCGCATGAACATAAACCAATTCCGAGCCCACTTTCCGGTCCGAGCAACAGGCGGACTTCATGGATTTATTTTTCATGGTGTCGGTTGTCGGCGAGGATTATCTTAATACATTCGTAACCACTCGTATGAAAACACGAGTTCGAGCACAGACGCAGGCACTAGGAGTCTAGAGTGTAAGCTTATGGCTCTGCAGATACGTTTCCACACCCTCGCTTTCAATCTGCTTGTAGCAGACGCGCCACAGAACGCACACGGGTGTTGCGATTCACACATGTCAAGGGTGCCGAGGGACCCTTAGGGGCAGGGTTCAAGCAGTCCTGAAAAGTTTGTACGTCAAAGCCCACCTCATCAAGCCTGAGCCGAAGCTGCTGAAGCCTCAGAACCCTCAATCATGACGTGCAGGGGACCCGGACGGTAAAGAACTCGAGGGCGGAGCGCGGCTGGGTGTTGCTGCTCCCAAGCCCGCAGCTTTATGCGCCAACGATCTCACATCCGGTATGTATATCCCGCATATCTTGCAAGTGTTCCTTGGTTCCTTGGTTCCTGTGGTCGAGAAGGCATGGACTTCGTGGTCTAATTGGGCTGCAGGGTGCAGGGTTGATAGGAGACCGAAGTTTTCCTTCAGCTCTACAGGATGTGTTGTGCGAGGGCAGTCCAGGATCTACGATCGCCTCTCAAGTTTTGAAAGATTACTTCAGCGTTTTGCGCATATTTGTGCCAAGTTCTGACCATGGCGGTAGCTGCACGTGCGGATCAGGAGTCTTCGTGAAAATTTTGGCTATTGAGCCCACTCCCCGCTTTGTCCCACTTCTTCATTCCTTGCTTGAACGGTTACATTTGTTCGCGTTGCCCCTTTGCTTCTCGCCCGGTTCTGCTTTCGTGGTTTCTCTGGGCAAGCGGGTTGGGACGCTTTTGTTTCATTCGCTATGTATGTGAGTTTTTGATTTAGCTTGCTTTCAGGGCAGCTCGTGACCCAAATTGTGTGGGAGATGGGGCCTGTGCTGGCGTATGGGGTGTCTTTGATACTACGGGCGGGGAAAATTGTCCCGAAAAGCATCTTTTTTGGAACAACTTTTTGCGAGAAGTGACTCTTCTCGAGGTGCTGGGCACGCAGTCTGTTCGAAAAACCAGAAGTGACTTGTTTCGCGCACAGCCACTTTGCGAAAACACCATTCTTTTTTGCGGCGGTGCGCGTGTAGTCTGTTCGAGAAGCCATGTTTTTCACAGAACATAATTTTTAGATCAGAAAACAACATTAGGAACAGAAACGAACATTTTTGCGACAAGGGACCTTTGTACGTGGTGTTGCACACGGGAACAAGCATTTCCGAAAAACGATGTTTCTCGAAAGAGTCTTTTCTGCTTTCTCTAAAACCTTCTTTTTTGCGAAAAGCCGCTTTGTACGAAGCTATCGTTTGTCGGGCTTGCCCTTGAGAAACCAGATGTTAGACGCCAACATTTCCGTAACCTCAAGTGCAAGCGCTGCTTGGGAATTCCGCAGCAATGGTGTCTCTCTGAATCGTTGCATGTGCAGATGCTGGCTCAATACCATACATCATCAAGCCCCGCATTGTCATGCACAACCCGAACCCTAGATTCACACAGCAGCATTTTGGTTTGTCAAACGTTGTGTAGGTTGAATCTTGAGCTTAGAGCAATTTCGCGTTACCACAATGACACGGCAAACAAGCGGTTATAAGTAGCTTGCGTACCAAGTTGCAAGAGCTAGCTTCATGATGCTACGTTTTTTGTTGGGCATGTCGTACCCATGTTGGCTTCATTTCCCGGCATCGGGATGGTTTCCCAATGGCTCTCAAAAGGCGTTGTTCCGAATTTGCATGCAGAGATAATCAGACCACGCGCTGGGCAGGTGGGCGGTGCGCCAGTTGTCAGGGCTACTGTCCGACTACCTCGAGGGCATCACAGAGCAGAATCTGCAGGTTCTTTTCGTCAAGAGTCTGCTGTTGTGTTTTGTGATGTTTCGTGCGTTGGAGCAGCCTGGGCTAAATTTTAATCGCGGAGTCGAATTACGAAGAGATAGTTTAACGGCACATCCATTCACGACGAGATGAATTGATCAATGGCGTACCAATCTTCAATCTCACCATGATTTGGTAATGCTACGGGGTCATGCAAAAACCAAGGCTTCGTGTTCAAAATCAGACATGATCTTGGTGGGATGGCTGGCATTAAATTAGCAACACGTATCCCCCTGCGGCGGCACCCTTGCCGCCAAGAGCAGCGATGCGAGGTGGACTGGAACAGCGTTGAATCAGTTGTGCAAAGAAGTTCGCCTTTCTACGCGCTGGAACATAACGTGGTGCCTGTGTCAGACATTGCCAAGGGGCTTTCTCCGTGGTGTTTTGCATGGTGGGCTGGGCAAGAGCTCGTAGGAAGCTTCTTTGGGGTTTCGATGTGCCTGTCATCAAGAACTCCCTTGCAACCTGGACCGACTTGTACAATGTGTGGCTTCTTGTGGACAGCTCCATCGCGAACTGTAGTTTTTGACTGTAGTTCCGGTGCCGCCGCTGCGGCGTGGAAGAAGCGGTAGGAAGCTTTTTGGCTGCTAGTGGCTAGCGGCTAAGTGTGAGTAGCTGGGGTTGTCACAGTACGCAGTACGGGACGGGAGGGATTGTGACCACTGAATAGTACTAAATAGGAACAAATATGAAGTAAGTCCAGGTGTAGGTTCTTATGCATGCGGGTCATGAAAAACTCATGCAGAACTGAGCTCCGATGAGCATGAAAGCGTTGCCGACATGACAGCAGCTCAACATCATTCGGCATGTGTGCAAGGACTGGTACCCTTCTCTGACATCAATCCATGCAATGCATTCAGGAAAGGCATACCAACACTAGGGATAAACGGCCTTGCTTCGACAAATGGCAGATGATAAAAAATGTGTTCAACACAGATAGCCCGGTGTGCGACATCGCCTGCGTGTCGTCCAGTTGGGCGAGTTTCTCGCAAATAACATTCTTGCTCCAACTGTCCGATGGCTAGCACCAAATTCAAGAAAAACACACTGTGAAGTCATACTGGAGGTCGCTGCCTTGTGTTGGTCACAAGGCAGATTTGCAGCAGTAACAGCAAAGACGGAAAATCGTAAACTGTTTCGGCTTAGGTCTCTCAATCGGACCCCAAAGCTCGTCCAATCCTCCTTGCATCCGGTGAGGTGGCAGCATGATATGCGAAACTACGCATGCAAAGTCGATCAAAGTCGTCCAGGTTGGCTCACCTTGGGCGACGCAAAGCTTTCCAACATCGCAACGCTGTCATGTTCCAAAGAGGTAATATGCGGCGCCAAGGCATGCACCATTGGATATCAGAAGGAGGACCAACAAAAAAGGCAGGCATCGACATCCGCGCTGGTAAGCATCTGTGGAGCAATTCTGGGCGCGGCGCAACAAGAGTGCTAAACCACGCAGACACACAAAGGTGATGGGTCGTCGTGTTTGCAATGCCGCCCCCAAAAGCGCAGCAACGAACCAAAACGGCTGTCCCCGGCAGTCTTTTTGTAGTTGCAAGACGCCGCTCTTTGCAACTCCAAGGTTCTCATGTCGAGCTTGCATAGCTTGCTCAACCATATGGGATGCCCGTTCTGGCCGAGCTTGTGTGCACCACATCTTGCGATGCGTTTGTTGATTTTCGAGTTGAGCACGTTAGGCTTGCCCATGAACTGCTATCTGTCTGAGCACGTCCTGCGTGAAGCCACGACGCTTCCCCGCCACTTTGCCTGCTGCCGCGTGCTGGCCGCTCCCCTTCTAGAGCTTGGAGATGCCTCGCTGGGATGATCCCTCCCGTGTGAGTCGGCTTCACCCTACCAGCCACTGACCGGAAACCGGTCAACACAACATATCACAACATATCACAACATATCACAACATATCACAACATGGAAGGCTGACGCACGAAAAGTGACCAACATCGGTGGGCGGTGCTAGGGGCCCGGTTGCAAAAACATTACACAAATTGTTTGACACCGGTGCTTGATGGACGGCTTAAGTGGCGGGACGCAAAAGACAAAAATGAGTCACACATCGCAGAGCGGCGTCAAAAAGAAAAAATGCAGAGATCACTTGGCGTGCGCTGACCGACCCGGAGCGGCGACCTCCGCAACCACGCTCGCCACTACTGGCCGAACTTCTGGCATACGAACCTGAGCGCCTGGTCCGGCTTGCAGCAGGACCTGTGGCCACGGCGCTGCGCTTGAAGCTTTTACTCCAATGCTGAAGCTATGGAGCTGTTCGCTCATGCCGCCGCCCTGCCGGCACGCGCTCATGTCCCGGGCATCGGTTTTTACTATGTAATTGTGGTCTTTTAGCGTATTATCTTCGTGATATCTTCGTGGGTGTACAAGTGAGCTTGCGCAATCCCGTAATTTAATTTGTCTTTAGCATGTAGTTTATGAATCCAAATAAAAGAAGTGCATGAAAACTGCCGCATTTTAACGCATTTTCCCAACATTCCAAGATCTTACAATTCAATTCAATATGCGCACTTTTGGGCCGTTCATAAATTCGCTCACTCGTTCATTAATACAATTCCGTCCCTTGGCTTTCCCCCTGCCACGTACGCTGGGCTTCCGACCCGGATAACTGGCCGATCTCACGAGACAAAAAGCAACCAACAGCCGGGCCTTGCCTTAGACCTGGCGGTCGACCGCAAGCATCGGGCTCACATGGAAAAATTGCAGCTAGCCTGCGGCGTTGAGATGGGCTCAGACGTTGTCAGACACGTTTAGCGCTGCCGCCGCATGCGAGTCGCTGCTGCCGTCCGCGCGCGAGATGCCCCAGACATGGCGCAATGTTGCCGCGCGGCTTTCCACGCTGGCGCAGCTCGCGCCTGCTTCTGCCCTCGACGCCCTCCACGCACGCTCCCGGCCCGAACACGCTGACCCGGTCGTTGATGGATG